CGACCCTGATGTTAACGATCTGGGAACCCTTGCCGATTTGGCAAACGTTTGTATGCGCACCCTGATGCGCTACAATTCGGTGCAGGCCGCCATTTACAAGGAAGTCACCGGAGGTGATCAGGATGGAATTCCGCAGTCGCAGTAATCCCGCAGAGCTCATCCCCTGCCCTGCAGGCGATAAGATGAGAAACCGCTATCAGCTCAAATATGAGTCAGACGGCACCCAGCATCTGATCAAAACCGGTGAGTTTGATGCTTACGAGCTCATCCAGAGCTTTGCACGTGAGTGTGATATAAATCTGATCCTCGAAAAGTATGCTATCACCGGCGATCCCGCTGTACTTAACCAGCGCGAAAAGCAGTACAGTGATGTCATTTTGCCGGACAACGTTTTCGAGGCCGCCGAGCAGGTGCATCAGGTAATTGCATGGTATGACAGTCTGCCTGATACTGTCCGCGATAAAATCGGTACTATCGACGAATCTGCTCCAGATGTCTGCAACGTCGGCAGGTATTGATGATCTGATGGCCAAATTTACGAAAAAAGAAGGCGAAAAGATCGAAAAGGTCGAAAAGGAGGTGAATAGCAATGCCGAAACTGTTTGATCAGTCCCGGTTTGCAAGCAATCCCCCGAACGTAAACATTCAGAGATCGCGCTTTGACAGATCGCACAATCTGAAACTACGTTCAATGCAGGAAAGCTCATTCCTTTCTATGTGGATGAGGTTTTGCCCGGTGACACATTTGAAATGGACACGTCCTTGCTGTGCCGTATGTCCACGCCTATCTATCCCATCATGGATAGCGCCTATCTGGACTACTATTTCTTTTTCGTGCCCATGCGGCTTGTATGGGATCACGCGAAGCAGTTCTTTGGCGAGTCTGACGACGCGTGGGCGCCCGAAGTTGAGTACCAGATACCCCATGTTACTGGTGCTGTCGCTAATCCCGGTAGTCTTGCTGACTATATGGGTGTCCCTCTCAACGTGCGCTCGAGCTTAACGTTCTTCCTTTCAGAGCGTACCGCTTGATCTGGAATGAGTGGTTCCGAGACGAAAACCTGCAGGATCCCCTGTTCGTCGAAAAGTCTGATACGGCGCTCTGGAGCAATAACAGCACTTTGCTCGACGTCAACAAGATGCACGACTACTTCACGAGCGCCCTTCCTGCTCCCCAGAAGGGACCGGCAGTCAAGATCCCGTTTGAACCCTGGAACACGTCTATCGTGACGTATGAGACAGATTTTCTGACCGGCGCACACCCAGCCATGAGGTATTACAACTCGGATGGTAGCCGCTATTCCAACCGCTATGTGGCCACCAATGCCAACGGCCAGATCGCGCCCTCTACCAATTCCACGACGCCCGCCACCGTTGGTCTGTACCCGTCCAATTTGGGTGTTAACCCTGATCTGATCAATGGCTCTACCATCAATCAGCTGAGACAGGCCTTTGCTGTACAGCGTATGTTGGAGCGCGACGCCCGCGGCGGCTCCCGCTATACGGAGCTTATCCGATCGCATTTTGGCGTCACGTCTCCTGACGCACGTCTCCAGCGCCCTGAGTACCTCGGCGGAGCCAGAGTCCCGATCAACGTTGAGCAGGTATTGCAGACGTCCAGCACCGATACAACGTCCCCGCAGGGTAACACTGCCGCATATTCCAAGACGGCAGACGCCCGCAGGAGCTTCACCAAGAGTTTTACGGAGCATGGCTATCTCATGGGTATGTGTTGCGTCAGACGCGTCACAGCTATCAGCAGGGCATTAACAGATTGTGGAGCCGTAAGACGCGCTATGACTTTTACTGGCCCGCTCTCGCCAACCTCGGCGAACAGCCTATCAAGAACAAGGAGATTTACGTGCAGGGAATCCCTGGATCGGACGAAGGTATCTTCGGCTATCAGGAAGCCTGGCAGAGTACAGATACAAGCCCGACCAGATCACTGGAGCCTTCCGGCACAACGCCGGTCAGGGTAGTCTGGACTCCTGGCACTATGCAGACTGGTACAGTGCGCGGCCGACGCTCTCCGCCGACTGGATAAAGGAGACCTCCGTCAACGTCGATCGCACGCTGGCGGTTAGCTCCAGCTTGTCGGATCAGTTCTTGCTGGATGTCTATTTCAGGTGTACGTGCTGGAGACCCATGCCCACGTACAGCATCCCCGGTCTGGTCGATCATTATTAATGTTGTCAAGTGTTGTCGGACCATGTTCAAGTGTTGTCGCATGACGGAAACATAATAATATCATCTAATCAAATGATTTTACCCCCCGAAAGGGGGGTATTTTACAAAGGAGCTTATCATGTACGAGATCGTGATTTTATGGTACGGCCCCTAATGGGCCCGATGCCGATATAATGAGTACGTGCAACAAGGAGCTTGCGGAAAAGCTCTATACAGAGGCTACAAAGATGCCCGAAATGGGCACTGTCATACTCTATAAGGACAAAACAAAGCGCCTCCGCGCGTACACGCGCGACGGCGGTGAGGAGGTATATGCAGATGCCTAATATGCCCGGAGGACTGTCCCTTAACATATCAGATACCGGCCGTCTGCATGGCGGCGCTGGTAGCTCAATGGACGGCCGCCAGCATGGCGGCGGAGGACGCACTATGGGCGTCCCGACCACTGCCGACGGCGTCGAGCTTGTAGACGGCCTGACGGCCGCCGAAGCCGCCGCTATGCGTCAGCAGTACAATTTTAATCAGAGCTCTGCCCGTGAGTCAATGGCCTTTGAGGCCGAACAGGCGCAGCTTGCCCGCGACTGGCAGACCGCTGCCAACAAGCTTGCATGGGACAGATCAGAGCTCAGCGCACAGCGTGACCGCGACTGGCAGGACGCTGATGAGCAATACGGCATACCAGCGCGCAGTCAAAGACTTGCGCGCCGCAGGCCTCAATCCCATCCTTGCATACAGTCAGGGCGGAGCTACGACGCCATCTGGCGCCAGCGCGTCCGGCTATACGTCCAGCGCCAGCACAGCCAGAGGCCATCAGAGCAGTACCAGCCACAGCCAGAGCGACGCCAGCAAGCTTTCCGCCGCCGCTATCGGCGGACTTGGCTCTGCGCTGGTCGGTATCGCCAAACTGCTTGCCCTTGCCGGGTTAAGCTCGTCTCCTTGCCAGTGCCCCTGAGGTAATCGTCTCTTATTCTCTGCCCTCCGAGCACTGTGCTATAATGGATCGACGAGGGGGCAAGCCATACCTATCCCGTCCTGATCGCCTTGTGCCCCCTCGGCGCAGCCATTTTAGCACAGTGCGATCAGGCAGTCAAGGCACGAGAGGATTAATTTACAAACTTTTGCGTAGCAAAAATTTGTAAATTGATCCGGCCTTGACGGCCTGACGGCGGTTGATGTATGGTTTGATCGTCGTTCCCCCGTCTCTCCGTTCCCGACAGCCCCCCTCGAAGGGGGCGCCGTCGAAAGGGGGTAATACAGCGGTTATACAAAAAATATACAAAAAAAATACACCCGCTACCGCGCCGGAGTTGGGTACACCTCCGGCGCGGAAAAAGGCCGCCGACAGAGGCGGCCGAAACTCCGCACAGTTTGTCTACTTGATGTAACTGTGCGGAGTGACACAAACCGACCAAAGGGAGGTTGATAGAATGCCTTGTTATGCCCCGAATTTGATCATCAAATCAGCCTTCGGCAATAAATACATAGGCAGTAAAATTATGCACCCGGAATATGCACCCGGTCAAGGATACGTCGATAAATCTACAGGACAGGTCTCCGAGGTTATTGAGGTCCCCTGCGGACAGTGCATCGGATGCCGGCTCGATCATAGCCGTATGTGGGGCTGATCGTATAACACTAGAGGCGATGCAATATCCAGACGGCTTTAACTGGTGGATAACATTGACGTATGATGACGACCACGTGCCAATCAGCGAAAAAGGTACACAAACTCTTTGCAAAAAGGATTTGCAAGACTGGATAAAGCGCCCTCCGGCGTCAATTGGAGTATCATCAAGGACATACCGGTTTACGTTTCTATGCGTGTGGGTGAGTATGGAACAAATACTTTACGGCCGCATTATCATGTCTGTATCTTTAACGCACCCCTGCAAATGCAGGGAGTCGAAGCGCAAAACAGCTTCGGCGATCTGATGTATCACTGTGATATGATCTATGATACATGGGACAAAGGTCATAACGTAGTGACTGATCTGACCTGGCAAACTGCGGCGTACACTGCCCGCTATTGCACAAAAAAATACAAAGGAGTAGAAAAGGATAAATATGAAAACGCTGGTCTTGTACCAGAATATGCTGTCATGTCCCGTAGACCCGGTATCGCTGGAGCTTACTGTGATAATCATGCTGGCGACATTTACAGCAGCGATAGTATTGTTTTGCCCGCTCAAAGAGGCAAAGCACACATATCGACGCCTCCGCGATACTTTGACAATCGCTTTGCGGCGATTGACCCAGTACGTCTGGCAGAGGCTAAAGAGCTACGCTCCCAGCGTGCTCAAATGCTTAAAGAAGCACGCGAAAGATTTACTGATATCCCTGAGGAGCTATATCTTGCTCGTGCTGAAGAAACTGCAAAAATAATTGCAGAAAATAGGCTTCCACGTATTGACATTTGACACAAAATGTGTTAAAATGATAATGCCACCTATAAACCACGTCGCCATAGCTATGGCTTTTTGTCGTTGTACACGTTGACGTGGATTGGGTGGCACCATTACAGCGGGCTGAGCAAATACCGGCGGTCGCTGTAGGGCGGCCGCCTTTTTTGTGCAACATCGGCCGCCCTAAATACCGGCAAAAATTTGGAGGTGCCACCTATGAGACGTATCAAGTCCCGCGCCCGAGGTCTATACCGACATACGTCGGACAAGACCAAGAAAATCAACATCGCACCCATTATAATGAGAGGAGGTTTTAGACTGTGAAAATTAAGCTTTACTCTATTATGACTGATGGTATTTGCGGAGTACCTTTTGCGGCAGATGACGCAGAACATGCGGTATCGCTGATCTCAAAGGCAATGCTTGATGCCCCGCAGATGATCCAGCTTGCGCTTGATGAGCGCATGACCATTGTAAAGATCGGTGAGATGGATGCAAAAACCGGCATTATCGACCCTGATGTTAACGATCTGGGAACCCTTGCCGATTTGGCAAACGTTTGTATGCGCACCCTGATGCGCTACAATTCGGTGCAGGCCGCCATTTACAAGGAAGTCACCGGAGGTGATCAGGATGGAATTCCGCAGTCGCAGTAATCCCGCAGAGCTCCTGCCTGCAGGCGATAAGATGAGAAACCGCTATCAGCTCAAATATGAGTCAGACGGCACCCAGCATCTGATCAAAACCGGTGAGTTTGATGCTTACGAGCTCATCCAGAGCTTTGCACGTGAGTGTGATATAAATCTGATCCTCGAAAAGTATGCTATCACCGGCGATCCCGCTGTACTTAACCAGCGCGAAAAGCAGTACAGTGATGTCATTTTGCCGGACAACGTTTTCGAGGCCGCCGAGCAGGTGCATCAGGTAATTGCATGGTATGACAGTCTGCCTGATACTGTCCGCGATAAAATCGGTACTATCGACGATCTGCTCCAGATGTCTGCAACGTCGGCAGGTATTGATGATCTGATGGCCAAATTTACGAAAAAAGAAGGCGAAAAGATCGAAAAGGTCGAAAAGGAGGTGAATAGCAATGCCGAAACTGTTTGATCAGTCCCGGTTTGCAAGCAATCCCCCGAACGTAAACATTCAGAGATCGCGCTTTGACAGATCGCACAATCTGAAAACTACGTTCAATGCAGGAAAGCTCATTCCTTTCTATGTGGATGTGTGGATGAGGTTTTGCCCGGTGACACATTTGAAATGGACACGTCCTTGCTGTGCCGTATGTCCACGCCTATCTATCCCATCATGGATAGCGCCTATCTGGACTACTATTTCTTTTTCGTGCCCATGCGGCTTGTATGGGATCACGCGAAGCAGTTCTTTGGCGAGTCTGACGACGCGTGGGCGCCCGAAGTTGAGTACCAGATACCCCATGTTACTGGTGCTGTCGCTAATCCCGGTAGTCTTGCTGACTATATGGGTGTCCCTCTCAACGTTGCGCTCGAGCTTAACGTTCTTCCTTTCAGAGCGTACCGCTTGATCTGGAATGAGTGGTTCCGAGACGAAAACCTGCAGGATCCCCTGTTCGTCGAAAAGTCTGATACGGCGCTCTGGAGCAATAACAGCACTTTGCTCGACGTCAACAAGATGCACGACTACTTCACGAGCGCCCTTCCTGCTCCCCAGAAGGGACCGGCAGTCAAGATCCCGTTTGAACCCTGGAACACGTCTATCGTGACGTATGAGACAGATTTTCTGACCGGCGCACACCCAGCCATGAGGTATTACAACTCGGATGGTAGCCGCTATTCCAACCGCTATGTGGCCACCAATGCCAACGGCCAGATCGCGCCCTCTACCAATTCCACGACGCCCGCCACCGTTGGTCTGTACCCGTCCAATTTGGGTGTTAACCCTGATCTGATCAATGGCTCTACCATCAATCAGCTGAGACAGGCCTTTGCTGTACAGCGTATGTTGGAGCGCGACGCCCGCGGCGGCTCCCGCTATACGGAGCTTATCCGATCGCATTTTGGCGTCACGTCTCCTGACGCACGTCTCCAGCGCCCTGAGTACCTCGGCGGAGCCAGAGTCCCGATCAACGTTGAGCAGGTATTGCAGACGTCCAGCACCGATACAACGTCCCCGCAGGGTAACACTGCCGCATATTCCAAGACGGCAGACGCCCGCAGGAGCTTCACCAAGAGTTTTACGGAGCATGGCTATCTCATGGGTATGTGTTGCGTCAGGACGCGTCACAGCTATCAGCAGGGCATTAACAGATTGTGGAGCCGTAAGACGCGCTATGACTTTTACTGGCCCGCTCTCGCCAACCTCGGCGAACAGCCTATCAAGAACAAGGAGATTTACGTGCAGGGAATCCCTGGATCGGACGAAGGTATCTTCGGCTATCAGGAAGCCTGGGCAGAGTACAGATACAAGCCCGACCAGATCACTGGAGCCTTCCGGCACAACGCCGGTCAGGGTAGTCTGGACTCCTGGCACTATGCAGACTGGTACAGTGCGCGGCCGACGCTCTCCGCCGACTGGATAAAGGAGACCTCCGTCAACGTCGATCGCACGCTG